GGAATAGGTGACATTTCCCCATGTTCAGCTGCTATGAGCTGATACAGCACTGTGCACAGACCACCACCTCATTTAGGAACCACTGAAGATCCACCTCATTTCACCACATGTTAAATAGAAGCAACAGAATGGAGAGCTAGCATGAAGAGTTAGTCTGAAACTAGGTAATCTAAAGTCCCTTTCCACTGAGATACTGCACCTCAGAAATAGCCTGTGGCATCTTGATGTTGGGACAGCATCTCTGCAGAGGGAAGCAGAAATGGCTTGAACGTGAACAAACTTAACAGGACTTAACTTTTAATAGGAGTTTGGGAGGATACCTAGTAGTGAGGTCTTGTTTCCCAAGAGAAGTGATGGAAGTTTTATCCCTTGAGATTAAAAACTAGCTTGGGCAAAGCACAGGAGAACATCCTGTGGGGACAGGAAAAGTCCCAACAGGGCTGACGGAAGGAACTAGATAAGCTACCCTGTCTTTTATGTCTCTCCATCATCCTGCTACAGGAATACTTTTTAAGGCTGTATTTTGTGTATTGTCATTTATTTACTGGGAGCACTTGAGAGACAGGTTCGTTTTTAGGGGAATCTGGAGAAAACTGAAGAAAAATGTGGTGTGCACTGAAGCAGGTTCACTTGACATAAAGGGAAAATAGATATTGGAATCACATTTATTAATCTCCCTTGCTGGGATAATGGAAGACACAGCCACGTTGTCTCTTTGCATATCCACTGCCTCTTTTAATCCATGGAATTTGGCAACTGAGATTGAATCACAAGGCCAAGTAGGAGTTCAGCAAAAGTCAGCTCTGCTTCCCTTTGTGTTTCCCGAGGTTCGCTCGGGCAGTGAGATAGATGAAGCTATTGAGATAGGTTTGCTTTCTTTTCTGTGGTGAATTCTTTTCTCCTTATCCTCTTTACACCTAAAAATATTCTCAGTTGTCCTGCTTTGTACACTTATGTACTGTTGCACCACGTAACTTCCAGCATTTGTGTTTTTCTCATTTCACCTTTCTACCTTTCAGAAAGGAATAATGCCTAACAAATGGAGAACTGGTCACTGAGGCTCATTTGGCCTATTAAAAATGCAAAATAAGATAGAGTAGCTTAAACCACCTTAAACATTACATAAACTGATGTGTGATTTAGGAGTGGAGAGAGCTAAGAACATGCTTATGGCCAAGTTCTG